TGAAGAAACCTCCAGCAGAACCAGGCTCAGTGTGAGCGGCCATCTGCCGAGGCCGCCTGGGGTTCAAGGAGACAGAAGCAGATATGCAAAAGGCAGCCCCGTCCAGGAAACATGCATGATGGCAGTATAATGCTATGGGAATGCTTTCCATCAGCCGGGAAGCTTAAGGGATTAAAGTGAAGATGGAGTAAACTACATACGGAGTAGTCCAAGAAGGAAATCTGTTAAAGGCCACAAAAGACTTGAGTCTGATTCAGAAGTTCCCCCTCAAACAGGACTAATAAGCATAAAGAATGAGCTAGAGTCTATTAGAATCAAAACCTATTCATGTGTTAGAATGGCCCAGTCAAAATCCAGACCTAAAAAAGATAAGAATCTGTAAAAAAAAAAAAAAAAAAAAAATCTTACTTTCACTTCTGAAGGTATTGTCCTTTCATTCTGATTGATCTGTTTTGGTAATTAAAGGGCTCTAGATGAGCAAAGCTGATAGAAACCTTCACTTAAAGATTTGCTTTAAATCCTTTTTGTTTATATGGGACACTAACTTTATTTAAAGAAAGCTATCTAAGACAATTAGATTCTTTGTTCTATAACTTGTTAAACAGTCCCTGGTTAAAATGTTTAACAATTGGAGATACCTGACCTGAGCAGAGCAGAGCTGTGGCAGTAAGCAGGGTGTATTAAGCCTCTGTCACACGCAACACCGCCATGCTGTGAAGGAAGTTTAGCACTGAGCCCAGGAGATCCTCACTGCTTCCTGTCCACACCAGGAAACAGATCCTTAAAGCGGGCTCTTTATGTCCATAGTTTGCAGATTAAAGGGGATGTATGAGCTGGAGGATGAATGATTATACCGTCATACTCAGCAGGTCTCAGCTGGTAAAATATTATCCAAAAAAATCAGCAGGAACACAGATTCATTTGAAATCCTTAAAATCAAACATTACAACATAAAATAATCTGCAGTTAGAGAAGAGAAAAGGAAAGAGAAAAACAAATCCTGGGATAACATTTCGGGCATGTGTCTGGATTTTCTAATTAGAAACCAGAGATTTCAAAAGAAACCTGCTGCCTGGTAACAACACAGGGTTAATATGGTGTCCATTTATAAACTGGCACTTTCTAAATAGCTTTGGAGTTTTTGGATTGCTTCAACAAATAAAACAAACAACATGAATACAAAGTAGTTTTTTGTTTATGATTTTTTTTCTAGTTTACCTTACAGACAAATCGTCTTCTCTGCATTTTTGTCGTAAAATCCCTTCTTCTACCTACAGAGGCCAATCCTGAGAGAAGAACAAACAGCTCCTTCTGCGAAACAAAAATTGTCCAACAACAAAAATAGTCTTATCTATTCCATCAAAACGAAAACGTTTGGATGTTATTTAATCTCACGTTTGCTATATTTAGTTGTTTTTTTTATATATATATATTAGTTTTGTCTTTCATCTCTGGTTTATTTTACTCAAATTACCATTCTTTACCAGTGGGCGGCAGTATCGTCACATCTCTGTGGGCTTAATACCAAGAAGAAGAAGAAGGAGCGTCTAGTTAATCAGAAAAACAGAAGGGAAGAAATAATAAATATCAGATAGAGAGTGGGACATACCGATTTATATGATAATTTATATTTAAAAGGGAGGAAAAATAATGATAAATGTGAAGGATGTGGATAGAAACAAAATGTAGAATACAAACTGTAAAACTTATAAACATGAAATTGAGAAGAATGGTTGGAATGACAGACCAAGAATGGAATCTTAAAGGAATATTTGTAAAGAATATTTACAGATTATGGAAAGCATTATTTATTAATCTTTAGAATACAAAATAAAAAAATAAAATTTGATAGATGTAAAGTGATGCTGCTACTCACTAATGTCCAGTAGGCGGCGGTATGCACCTTAAACCTGCTTGCGATCCGCCATCATAGAAAAGAAGAAGAAGAAGTGTCTATTCGGTTGTGGCGGCGCTGCTCTCGCGCGGCTCTTTTCTGATGCTTAGCAAACTCCAGCTAGTTACCTCCCTCCACACAAATGGACTAAAATGCCCGGAACACCGCTGCAAATCAAGTCAGTATGTAAATGATCTTAATAACCGCTACAAAAACCAGTTGTTTTGGAATTGTGAGACGCTTTAGTGATTCCTGGGATCGGTTGATTCTGTGTGAGATTGTTGCTAGGCTAACTTCCCGGTGAATCGGTAAACGGACAGAGGCTGACACGGGAACAGAAAACAGCCAAGTGGTTGATTCATCATTAAATTTACAAAAATGGATTCTCCTCGGGATGTAACGCCTTAATTTACGCGAGCTAATAACATTTTACGTAGTAAAATATTTTGTTTATGAGCTAAATTGAAGCTAGCGGTGAACACACACGTGAGACTGCCCCCTACCCCGTCCATGAGTCACATCTGGACAGCTGGAGGCCGAAAGCTGCGTGGATAAGAGGCAGCTGGACGTGGTGGATGGCAGGAGCTGGACTCAATGATCCAACAGAACAGAGAAGAGGCAGCAGAGGGTGGAAGGGAAGCTACACAGCATGGCTTACTGATGGCTTATTAAAGAAAGGAACTGGAAATGTTCTTGCACCATTAATATAGAAGAGAGGGAGGAATGAAAACAGAAAAAAGTTCCTTGATATAGTAAGGAAGGATGTAACAGATGAGCATGATGTTAGGACTATAATCTTCACCAACAGGCCACTGATTGTTTACTTTGTTAGATGGTGAAACAGCTCAGATCCAGCCAGATTAACTTTGTCCTTCAGTTTCTATTTGTTTTTGCAATAAAGGTTATTTATTTCCTGTCCTTTTCATGTTGTGTAATTACCTGCTTAACCCAATGTCTCTCTGTTTAATGTCAGGCCTTTCAACCCATTTTCTTTCTTTCAGTACTGAAGCTGAGCTGTGACTCTTTCTGCTGTTGAAGACTTCAAGCAGAAACCAGGAACAAGCAGCAGATAGTCAGTCTGCTGCTCATGGTCTTAGCAGAATCTGAGTAGCAGTTTCACAGTTGTAACCACCTCCTAAGATCTGGTGTGATGCCGTATTCGTCTCCATTCCGACTCTGAGTCCCAGGAGGAATAAACCGTCAGCTCAGACTCTTCTGGATCCCAGGAAATCTGCAGTTGGTCATTTTGGTGGCCATGATGAGCGCCGTCAGTCATGAGTCATCAAGAACTTGTCCATCAAGTTGTAGTTGATGTTTTAGGTCCTTCCTGCTAAAGGAACCCTCTGAGCAGGGAGTCTTTATTTATCTGGAAACATCACGGACTTCTGCAGCAGCTCCAATGCCCACCAATCAGTCGTTACCCTGGGGGGACGGGAGTCTCAGGGCATGTTCTAGTGCACATAGTGCCCCCGCCGCTACCCTGGTTTCTAGTGCAGCCTTTAAAGGTTCTTTCAGATACCCTCCCCTGGAGCTCCACAAGGCTAAGAACCAGGACGAACCTCTGTCTTCTACTGCTGTTTCATCCCTATCTTCATCATACTGTCCTCTCTGGGAGAAAGCAGGAGGGTACAGTTCAAACACCTGGAGTCACCATGTCGAATCAAGGGGGTCGGGTAATCCGGCAGAGCAGCAGAATGGAATTCAGAGAACGTCGAAACCAAAGCAAACTGTCAGCAGCGTTGTTTCTGAAAAAGTGGAAGCCCGAACCCTTCAACTTGGAGACGGATCAGCGTTTGAGGGCAAACAAAGTTCAGCAGATGATGTTCTACTAGAGCTTTCCTCAGGAGGTCATAGAAACCTGCTTGTTGGCGGACATGCCACCGTGCAACATAGCACTCTGCCATTGGTGAGTGGGTTTAAATACTGCACTAAGGGTAGCGCTGCATTTGGTGATGTCTTTCCTCTACTGCAGTGCTTTTCAACCCTGGTCCTCAAGGCACACTGCTCTGCATGTTTTGGATGTTTCTGAGCTTCAGCACACCTGATGAAGGTGATTGCAGTTCAGCAAAGCCTGATAATTGCTATCAATTGATAAGAGGTGTGTGAAAGCTGGGAAACATCTAAAACATGCAGGGCAGCGTGCCTTTAGGGCCAGGGTTAAAAAACACTGCTCTACTGTGCTTCTTTCATAGCTGAAAGCTTGACTCGCAGTCTTCTGATCTCCATTATTGATCTAAAGGCACTTTCTATATGTTGGAAATATGAGATCAAATCCACTTTTCACGCAGAAATCGATGCAGACTTCCAGCCACTGATTATACAGAGAATTAATTAAAAAAAAATATATTGCTCTGCATTTCGTTGTGAAACGGCTGCATTATTTTTGGTAAGAACTAACAAAGGAAGGCCAACTTTAAAGGAAAAGTCCGGTCAGCAAGGAATAATCAATGGGTCATTATTTATACCTAAAACTGATACGTACACAGTGATTTATTGAATTTAGCGTTAATCAGTAGACTGTTGGCAGTAGTGTTCTTCGACAAACATGAATGCCTCCAGTAAAGCACATTCAAATGAAAATTACTCTTAATTAAAAATACTTATAATTTATTGAACAGTATGGAATAATTTAATATTTAAAGTACTTCCAGAAGTTTGAAATCTGAATATGAGCTGGCTTTTCCTTTAAGGATTTTTTGGCTCTCTAATTATTAATCAAAAAAGATAATTGAATGATTGATTTTTTTAAATAATCGTTATTTGCAGCCCAAATAAAGACCTGAATTTGGCTCCTGTCGTCCCCTCTGAGTCATTTCCTGCCACTAGAACGGCTGGATTTCTGCCATAGATGTTGTCTTGCATCGAAGCCAGAAAGTTCAACTGTGGCGTGATCTGAGCAGACATGACTTATGGCAAATTTAAAAAGAGCTTCTCATGACTTTCTTCTGTCCTTCAGGATCAGATTCCGGAAGTAAAAAAAATAATAACTTTATTAGTCTGATGCTGTTTGTTCTTTAATATCATCTTAACAAAACCTTAAATGCCAGAAGCTGATCAGTAGGATTTATAAAGAGATTAAATTACACACACCTGGACTGTATTTATTATGATTTTTTTTTTTTAATATGGCTTTCACATATTTAAGATATTTAAGTTAAAATCCCAGTGGAATATAAAAAAAGCTTAAAGGGTATATGTATTTTTGCAGGACATGTTTTCTGAATGCATTTTGACCCCTTTCTGTGTTCTGTCTCCTCAGCCTACGGCTACAGCCTGTTTCTCTTCACCATCAGTGCCTCATCTTTGCCTAAAACCTTCGAGACATCAGGGATCAAAGTTGCGGAAGAAAACCTCCAGCCACAACGGCACAAAAAATGAAACAAGAAGCACAAAGAGGCAGGTGATTTCTCCACGGAGGAGCCATTTGGCTAAACTGGCAGCGAGGCGCAGCCAGACACCAGCACCTCATCTATCACAGACCTCTTTAAACAATCAGCTGCTAGTGAGAGGTGGTCCTCCAGCTGTCCTGGCAGCAGCTACCAACAACAAACCCCAGGAGGCTGCATCACCGCCACAGCAGGACTCCTCTTCCTGCATCGTCCGCCCAGCTGTGCTCTGTGACGACCTGCAGCTGCAGCCCACAGAGCTTCATGCTGATGAAGGTAATCGGTTTGAGTTGATGTTTAAAAACCTGTATACGTGAACCAAGGATTACAGATCCAAGCTTATAGCTGTAACCATTTAAAAAAAAAACAAAAAACAAACAACTACATTTATAAAGTAAATATTCCGTTTACTGGTCATTTAAACATGATATTTATGTGATTAAAAACATGAAACCAACCAGCCTCGCTGTCCTCTAATTGACGTCTCTACTTGACTCTGATCCTGGGACAGATGTGGCTTCGTGTCCTGCAGGAGCTTTAGTCGGCTCAGTGACAAATCAGATTTCAGCCATCCACCTCACCAGGGAAGGACGACCTTCCCCCACTTCCACTCAGTCCTCGTCCTCCTCGATGACAGAAGAGCAGCTGATGGGGTAAGTCCACCATTTTTTTTATTTTTTGGGTTGGGGGATTCTTTAAGTTGGAGTATTTCACTTTTGGCTTGTGTTTCCAGCTCAGACTGTATGATGCAGGTGGATGGAGTGGAGGAGGAGCTTCCAGATGAACTGGAAAATGCCTGCAGTGATGATGGTGAGACCATTTCAGTTCAGTTTATTTCTATAGCGCCAATTCACAACACATCATCTCAAGGCACTTTACAGTTCACCAGATCATCCAGTCAGATTGATTTTAAAGTTTTCTATCTAAGGAAAACCAGTTGATTGCATCGACTCATTGACTCGCAGGCAATACCTCACACTAAGCATGCTTGTAGCGACAGTAGAGAGGAAAAACTCCCCTTGAACAGGAAGAAACCTCCAGTAGAACCAGACTCGGAGTAGGCGGCCATCTGCTGAAGCCGACTGGGGTTCAAGGAGACAGAAGCGGGAAAAGGTTTCCATGGAAATGTTGCTCACTAGTTGAGCTTCAATCACTGCTCTATTATATTTCCATGCATCCACAAATCCTGTCAGAATGAATATTGTGAGATGGAACAAAAACCATCACTGGATTCAGCTACTTTCTGCTCCTTGAGTCTCAGATAATCTAAATTGTTAATTTAGGTTCCTCTAATTTGGCCCAGAATAAATCCAGATTTCATTCCTGTCTGCAGCTCCATACAATATGAGCGTGAGGCATAACCAGTCTGTGTCTAAGACTTTATTCTTCTGTTTCCAGATGTTTCTGAATGTTATTCCATCCATTCGTCCGCTGCATCGATCCCTCACCTCTCCAGGTAAGAGACACACACTGTTTGGTTAATCCAGGGATTATTTGAAAGCTTTTGGTCCTTGGTGAAAACACCTCCCATAAAACTGTTTTATTCCACTAAAGCCTCAGGATGAGCACAAAGGACCAGTTTTTTCCCCCCATCTTTTAGTATAAAATGTCACCAGATGATTGGTGAATAGAAGTTGTTCAGTGAAGTAGTTGGTCTCTTTGTTTTTGATGGTTTACGTGCCGAGTTGGAGCAGCATCATCTTGTTGGGATGTTTTTCTTTTGCACTGACAGGGAAGCTGGTTAGAGTTGAACAGAAGAAATCCTGAATTAAAAAAGATTTTCAACTTGAATGCCTTTTTTTGCTTGTGATGAACTAAAAACTCGAACAGGTTTTAAGGGAATTAACCCTTTATAGGGCCCTCAGTGAAATACTTTGAAAAAGAAAATTTCAAGCCAATAGTGTTATTGGATTCCAGGACCAAACCTTATTACCTTTGTAACATTCCAAAGATATTATGATGGCAAAAATGAATGTCATTGTAATAACAAGAAACGCCAACTTGCCCGAATATATAAAGAAAAATAACAAAAGTGCTTCTATAAGAAGATCTGGGAGGCTTCTTGCTGTCTGCTGACATTCAAATAATGGAGGTCTATGGCGCCCGAGGCAGAAAGGTCCATAAAAGTCCACAAAAAACGTGTCAATATTCCTCCATACTGCTCGTCCAATGTATTCCAAGTGTCCTGAGTGGGTAGCATCCAGAATTTACTCGAAACGAAGTCATTTAGAATGTTTTTAGAGCATAAACAGTAGTGTATAGGATTTCCTAAAAGCGCGCGCCTGCGAGTTCACGACTCTACGGAAACCGCGGCAGACCAAACCAGATGAAAGTGCGCATTCAGCTCGGCAAAGAACTCATGCTCTTCCTCAACACTGAAGTCCTCAGACATTTTTCTTCCGTTGTTTCTTTCTTTGCACAGGTAAACAGCACATTTCTTCTTCTACACTTGCATTATTGGCAGAGCAGATGCTGAATGCGCACTTTCATCTGGTTTGGTCTGCCGCGGTTTCCGTAGACTCGTGAACGCGCTTTTAGGAAATCCTATACACTACTGTTTATGCTCTAAAAACATTCTAAATGACTTCGTCTCGAGTAAATTATGGACGCTACCCACTCAGGACACTTGGAATACATTGGACGAGCAGTATGGAGGAATATTGACACGTTTTTTGTGGACTTTTATGGACCTTTCTGTCTCGGGCACCATGGACCTCCATTATTTGAATGTCAGCAGACAGCAAGAAGCCTCCCAGATCTCCAGATGCATTTGAGATATCAAAAAAGTACTCCAGAGTTTTGTTCAGCATGGGGGTGAGTAGAAAATGAAGGCTAATCATGTTTTGGGTGTACTATTCCTTTAACTACAGTGAACCATCGCTATAACGCGGTTCACTTTTCACGGTCTCGCTGCTTCATGCATTGTTAAACTTTATTATCAAACATAATCGATGGTGGCATGTCGGTTTATAAGGATATTTTGGCCCAGAAGAAAAAAGAGCGACAACATCTACCAATAACTATGTTCTTCTCCAAAAAACACACACATGCACTGCAGGCTTTAGAAGAAAAAAACGCCACAGAGCAATTAGGAGGCAGCGGCTCCGTCAGAACAGCAGTGAAATACTGTACTGTACATGTCAGTCACTATTTGTCCTACTGTACTTTGTATTTTTTTTTCATAATAATTTTTCATTTTCTCCCGTTCCAATCCGTCACAGCGGGGCGGTGCTGATCCCCGCAATATTAACCCTTCATTTCGTATTGATGATTAAAATTATTACTTATTTATTTATAACTATATTATTTTACAGTACAGTACAGTAGTTATTTGTAAAAAAAAAAAAAAAAAAAAAAAAAGAACAGACAATAACAACGTCTATACAGTACTTTTATTTGTTTAACAAATGCTTGGGCCTGTAAAAAGTTTTTGTTCATTGATTTCAATGTTTTATGGAGTATTTCATTGTATAATAACTTTTAAAAAAATAAAGGTTTCTACTTCAAGGATTTCGCCTATCGCGGGTTCTTTTTGGAACGCAACCCCCGCGATAAACGAGGGTTCACTGTATTCTATTCGCTTTTTTTTTTTTTTTTTTTTACAGTAGGTAATATATCATTGAAAGGCTCAACTTCATTCAAATTCCGGTAATTATTATTTCGGCCAAATGCCAAAATAAGATGTACATGCCATGTAGCAGGATCTTTGCTGAATGACTGGATATAGATCTTGTGCTTCTAGATCTGATTGGGGGTGGGGGGACTCCATTTGTAAGGGCTATGTAAGTGATCAAAAACAAATTAATTCTAAGAGGCTTTGATCCCTGATGATGAATCTAAAAGCAACCTGCCCGCTCTGTGTTCTGGAAGCCTTCTGCGTTTTACGTGAGTGTCGTAAAACGTGGGACGTTTTGATGTCCGTTGGATGGAAGATCTGCCTTTATTCAGGCGGTGTTCTACCCAGCATCACTTCCTGTTTGCTCCTCTGACACCTGTTTGAACATCTGGCCAGCTGATGGCGTTGACTCTCCTGGTCTCTCAGCTGTTCTCTGTCAGCTCATTGTTAGGAGAGGCTGAAAGTGGCAGATCATGGTGGAAAGCTCTGCTCCATTGTCTCTGCATACTGTTGTGTGTTGAGTCTCTTCTAAAACAGCCCAGATTGGGAGCGTTGTTGTTGCCTTTTACCCCTAACTGCTTTGTTCCCGACTTCATTTCCATACGCTGACTCCTCCACCTGCCTTTACTCCATGTAGTTGGAGGTCTTTGATTCTGAGGTGACGCTGTCGGTGGTGGAAGAGGTTTTAACTGAAGTCTGGAAATCGTTTTGTTATCCTGTCTCTATGACGGTCATGTGAGTATCTTTGAGCTTCTTCGTGTTCTGAAGATGTTAAGGACTGCGGTTTTAAAGGAAAGGAGCTTTTGTTGTTGTGGATCTGCCACTAAGTGACTGTTTGAAGAGTCAGATTAGACCTGCTGTTCCATCAGTCCGTCCGCTGACATTTAATCCTTCCCAGCGTCGTGTTTCAGACATGTAGTTCACCTTGTGTTACAAAGTGGACCAGTGACCTGATGCCTGATAGCGGTAGTTAAAGGTCACAGAGTGCACCTGTGGCTTTGTGGTTCACTTTGTAAAATAACTTCTTGGACCTTGTTGATAAATCCGCACTTTAACATTAGCCACTTAAAAATAAACTGTATTCTACACTGTTTTATTTAACACCTAACAGTCCATCACTGAGTGACATAATCCCTCCTCCTTTCTAAAAGGACGACTCCTATCAGAGGTTTTCTGGCAGATGTCCAATCAGCGGTTGTTGTAAAGCTCTGAGTTTCATCACTGTCGCTCATGTTTACAGAAAATCTATCTAAAGATTGTATTTCTATGACAGAACAATTTAGAGGAAAAGCTCCGATTCACTGGGTTTCTTTGGATTTGGTCAGGCAGGCAGGTTGCTGTTGTAAACAAACCAGTGGTTTTAATCTATTTAAATTATACTGGTTTATTTTTGTTTACATAGTGGGGCTGAAACGGTTAATCGATGATTAAAATAATCGTCAAATAATCAGTAATGGATTAATCGTTAACTGCAATATAGAGACTGTAAAAGATGCCTTTAGCTGATTAGCAACCCACGTAGAGCAGTGATTATATCATGATTGTAAAAAAAATATGTAAACATTTTGCATTTAAGATAAAAAAAATATGTCAATAGGCTCAATCCAAAACTCAAGGGGAAAAGTTTTTGTTTCACTTGGATTGATTTGGTAAAAAAATAGGGATGCACTATATTTATTGGACCGATAAAATATCAGCCGATTTGGCTGAATTTCTTTTTACTGGCTCAATACGTACATTTTTTCAATTAAAACTAGCCAATAAATCAATTAAATTCTGACTAATTTTATTCAGGCAGAGCTGCCCCAAAGCGAGGTTTGGAGTGCCTTACTAGCAGGAGTCAAGCGTGGCTCCTTAATTATCTGACTGTTAATGAACAAACATGTCTTGTCATGTTTTTTTTCCCCCCACGGTTTGCAAAACCTGTTCCCTTTCCTTTCTAAAAGGACCGACTCCTATCAGAGGTTTCCTGGCAGGTTTGCAATTAGTGGTTGTTGTAAAGGTCTGAGTTTCATCGCTGTCACTCATGTTTACAGAACATTAATCTAAAGGGTGTTTTTCTATGACAGAACGATTTGCAGGAAAAGCTCAGATTCACTGTTTTTTTAAAAAATTTTTTTTATTTTGTGGATTTTGTCACATTTTTTCCTCCAAGCTCGACCTCTCTGAGTCTGAAGCATATCCAGGCAACAATGATTCTCTCACGTTGGGAGATAAAGGTGCCGAATGTTTGAAATAGCTCAGAAGACTTCAATTAGTTTTTTTTAAGAAGTTCTGTGCAGTGGGATCTAGGCGATCCCATGGCGTCCATTAGCCTTGTGAGACCATCCTGATCTCGCAAGGTTTCACTCGCAAATCAGTCTGGAGACTCTCCGTTGAAGAAAATTTGGAGCCGTTCACCAAACGAACGTCCAATCAGCGTTGGCTTTGAGGCGGGTTGAGGTGTGACACAATGAGAAGCGCGACAGTTCAGTCTAAAGAACATGGCGGCTTCAGCCGATGAAACTAGCGTTAGCGTGGCTATCGAGCAAGTTTTATCGGAATTACAGAGTATTTCTTCACTGAAAGAAGAGCAAAACACTGCTCTGGAGGCTTTTCTCAGAGGAAAAGATGTTTTTGCTCTTCTCCCGACTGGTTTCGGCAAGAGTAGCCTGGCTTGTGGTTGTGTTTTCGTCGTCGTTCTGTTAGTACGTCATATGCTTCGTTAATCTGATTGGTTTATTTGGCCCGTCTATCACCAACATAGGCCAATCAGCTAACCAGTATATTCGCCCCTTCCCAAAATTACTTCAACGGCAGCTTTCCAGATGGATATGCGGAGCAAGGTTAGGCGTCCATAGTCACGGGGGTAAAATATCCAGAACTGAGCCCAGCAGGCAGTGGTGGAAACTAAAAAAGTCCATTTACTTGATTACTTAACTTAAGTACTATTTTTGAGTATCTTTACGTTATTTGAGTAATTTTTTTGGGGTAGTACTTATAACTTTCAATCCACTCCTTTTCCAGAAAGCTTTTAGTTTCTTCTTCCTTTTGGCTCAGCTTAGATTTCTAATTTGTTTTTCTTTCTTGAAATGTAAATCCAACATGGCGGATGGGAGTTCTTAGGACTGAATCTGGACTCCACTGTTTTAGAGATTTGAACGATGTTCCACAAATGTGAGAAACCCAGGACAGATATTATTTTTACTTTATGAATTTTATTAAAACATTAGTTGTTGCCGTGTGGACAATATGTTCGACAGGATAAGTTCCTAAATCAGAGTTGTAGATTAAACCATAAATCTTTTCCATAGTGAAAGTAGGAGAATCAAGATGTTCCTGTTTTCTTTTTACTTTGAAATGAAATAATAAACTATGAAATAATAAAATAGCTGTTGTTTTTTCCCCGTCATTTTTAAGCTGAAGTTCTTTCCAGGTGGTGTAGAATCTATAGCAGGTGGTTCTACACATTAATAAATCAGGTGGTTTCTGAAAGTTACAGGTTCATTAAAGTTAATCTACACTGAAGACGTTTCGCTTCCCATCCAGGAAGCTTTTTCAATTCAAAATATCAGAATTGACGTGGAGTTAAAAGATTTATATGCTTTGAGTATCGGGCATTGCAGGCTAACAAAGGACCCAAAACGACTCCCCATTCCTAAGGGGCGGACCCGTTTTTCTGGTTCAATTAGCATGTTTTCTGAGCCAAAACACGTTTCGGCTACTATATAAAGCATCTTACTCAACACTAATTCTGAATTGAATTGAAAAAGCTTCCTGGATGGGAAACGAAGCGTCTTCACACTTGGAAGCAAAGTCCAGTGGATTGTTTTTACTTTTTTTGGAATGACTATGACCTGGATGACTGAGAACCTTCACCTTCAATATTTTAACTTTAGCTGATGTTTGACTGGGTAACATTTTCTTGTAGTTTAGGAAGATTTGACCTTAAGTATCAATGCTTCCACTCAAGTACTACTGTGGAGTACTTCTTTCACCGCTGGTCCTTGGGTCTGATGGTGGTCAGACGGTCTGTGTACGGCAGCCTTGCTTCTGTTAGCGAGTCCCAAGACAGCTGTAGCTACATGTAGCTCGCCACCATCAGTGTGTCCGTGAATGAATGGAGTGTAAAGCGCTTTGGTTAAGTCTCCTGGCTTAAAAAAGCGCTATATAAATACAGGCCATTTATCATTTGTGAAAGAATGGTTCTTTTACAATTGGACAGAGGACAGCCCGTCAAACGTCTTTGCTGTCAAATGTTCCACAGTCAGCTGTTACTGGTAGCTTTAACATTTTGAAGTGAGTCTAACAGCAGTCCAGTCAAGGGATGCTCAGGAAATAAAGACCAGCTCACCATCGATTGGGTAGAAATTTCTATTGGCGTTGGATTAGCACCAGTTTAAGTAATTTCCCTCTGGGATTATTAAAGTATTTCTGATTCTGAGTTAACCGACTTAAGAGTTCAGCAAAGATAGGTCGTTATTAGTGGAGTTTTTACTTTATAAATGTCTGGCATGGAAGATTTGCCCAGGATTAAAAATGGAAAATCTCTACAAAGTTTTTAATCGCCTCCTACCGCTAGCTGAATCTAACCCCACGCGGGTTGGGCTTTAGACGAGTTTCTATCTGTTTGAAGCTAATGATCCAGGGGATGCGAGATATGCGTGGCTGTAAGAAACAGGAAATAAAGGTAAGACGCCAGCGCTGACCTCAGACCTGTGATGGTGCGAAGGTTTATGAATCTGTTGCAACCAGGCAGGTTGTGGTGACTTTAGCTGGTGAATGTTGACTGCGGTAGAACTTATTCAACAAATGTTCCCATCTCCTTTTTTTTTCCAAAGCCACTTCAAGCAAGTCTAAGAACCTTTAAAAGATTTTAGTAAGATGATTTAAATATTGTCACTTCCAGCAACCTTTCTTTATTCAATTACAAAATGCGCTTAGAAAACGTTAAGGAAGTGTATCTTCATCCATCCTCAGTGTCTGACAGTGTTTTTATTTTTTCCTCGACACATATCAGAACAGTCGGACCAAACGTGGATGTTCTCACCTGATAAGTTGTCCTTTCTCTTCTTCTCTCCTTCTGTTCAGCGTTGAGGAGCCGATGGTTTTGGAAGCAGAGGATGATCGGGAGGAGCGGCCGGCGCTCGTCCCTAGTTTGTTTCCTCTCATTCCGCCCACGCTGTACTTTGGGACAGCCAATGAGAAAGGTCAGGAGCGTCTCCTCTGTTCAGTGAAACCACTACAGTTGTTCTTTTCCCGGCTGACCCTTTGTGCTGTGCTCTGCAGTGGAGCTGCTGCCTGCTGAACAAAGACGGCTTCTCAAATGGAAGATGAGCACCGTTACGCCCAACATTGTGAAGCACACCATCACCAGGTCACACTTCAAGGTCACCAGGGGTGAGTCATCGCACCAACATATGGACCATTAGAAGTGCCTGTTGGCACACCTTCCCCCCCTCCCTTCACAAGTTAAGGGTCATTAGCTCGGATCCATTACTGTCAATGTCAATTCTCTGATCTTTAACTCTTAAGCTACGTTCAGAACGCACGCAGCAGAAGCAGCAAAGACACACGTGCTGCTTCATTTTTGATGCTGGTACAAGTTTGGTTCAGCTGAAGCATCTTTGCTGCTCTCGCTGCGTGGTTGAAAAGTGGCAGATTAAATCAAGAGTAGCTTGGCTTTTTTTAATGAATAATGCTACATTCAGACCTTAAGCACTGCTTCATATTTGATGCTTGTCCACATTAAGGTCAGAGGTCCAGTAAAGTGTGTCCAGATGCGTCTGATGCTTCTGCTGCTCCTGTGTTCAATGGCAGGGAGCGGCTTTGCTATATTTGCTTTGGTCAGTGGGTAAAAAGTAGTTTTGATATGTTTTTAAGTCAGAAAGTCCACCTGAAAACTTCATCTGTGAAGTCAGTTCATCCAGATTATGATCCTGCCATCAAATATTATTTGGCTGTCGGAGCTGCTCAGACCCCCGTACAGCGGTGGTGCTCTGTCACTGGGAATCCCGCTCAACGGCAGCCTCTGGCCGGGTTGCCTCTACGAGGTTTTCAGCTAATGTTTGCGGCGCCTGGAAGGCGTTTTTCGCGTACGTAATCCAAACTGCAGACACCAGAATAAAAAAATCGAGCATATTTTGCCGGCAGGTTTCGACATCTTAAGTTAACTTAGGCGTCCCGCGCCTCAGATGCTCAGAAGCTCATGAGGCGCTGCTTCAGCTGCTCAGACGCGCTGCAGGACATTTTGCTTTGATTGTAAACCATTGACTTTGATTGTAAACTAGCTGCTTCTGCAGCATGCGGTCTGAATGTAGCATTAGAACAGCAGCTTCTAGGTTAGATTCTACCTGCAGGCCTGGTCAGGTTCAAGCAGAACCTAGAGGGGGGTGTAGTTGGTGACGCTGTGTGACTGAAGTCTGTTGTTCATGCAGAAAACTATGACTGGCTGGGCTGCTGGGGGCACCACATGAGGTCTCCTGGCTTTAAGGCCATCGCAGAGCACCAGAAGGTGAGTCCCTGCAGAGGCACCCTCCAGCCGGGACTCCAGGATTTGCACTCACTGTTGCTTCTATTTATTATTTTTGTTTTTGCAGTTGAACCACTTCCCAGGAACCTTTCAAATCGGCAGGAAGGACCGGCTCTGGAGGAATCTGTCCAAGATGCAGCTTTGCTTCGGCAAACAGGAGTTCAGCTTTTTCCCACGGACCTTCATCCTTCCTCAGGACATCAAGCTGCTCCGGAAGGCCTGGGAAGAAGGAGGCTCCAAGCAGAAGTGGATCGTCAAACCCGTACGTTGTGCACTTCTCTAACTTTTTTGTGAATTAGTCAGAATTTCATGCAAAGGAGGGATGATCAGACAAAAGATGAAGGAGCTACAGAAAGGTGGTGGCTGTTAACAGTCAGTCCTGTTGTGTTTGATATTATTTGGGATGCCTTTATTTTGGTGAATCTGTAATTTATTTCTTTTATTTTAAATGAGGGAGCTAATTTGGCAGCAACTGGATTCACGTGACTGTAGGTTTGATACCAGAAAATCTAAAACTTTCTAAACACAAATACCAGGGCTGAAACAATTAATCATTATTAATCAATCTGACAAGCTGACAGATGGAAGCACTTACAAAAGTAATTATACCAACGTTACAAAAAATATATAAAAATTTTGCATTTAAGATAAAAATCTTTTTCATCTCTCAATATGATTTATGCTCCAGAACTCCTCAAGTGGCAAAGTTTTAGTTTCACCTGGTTTAATCTGTTAAAATCTTCTTTTTTCTATCAGATTATGAATTGATTAATTAGACGGATTACAAGAAGATTAATCAAATAGCAAAATAATCGTTCGTTGCAGCCCTAATCAGTAATGATATACATTATTTGACTTTCTTAGATGTTGCTGATAAATGAAATGGACCCTTTGCTTAATTAAACTGCATCATGAGTGTAAATGTTCACATTTCTTACCTGATAGAATTTTATTAGAGCATCAGATGTTGGATGTGATTCTAAATCTCCAGTGACTGGAAATGAGCTCAGACACTTGAACTAAACCCCTGGATCTAAACTGCTTTCATAATTGCATCTGATAGTATAAATGGGGCTATCGTTAAGACCTCTGGCCCTTTAAACACAAACAGATTCAGACATTTATAGCTCTTCATCCCTTTTTTTTTTTGTCGTGTAGATCTCTCATCTACAGAGGAGAGATAGAATTTCTCTTTTCTGCGGTCGTGTTTTGTAGTTTTTTTTTGTTTGTTTTGTTGTTTTTTTTAGCTACAAGATAAGTTGTGGCTAAAAATCAACCAGACTTGGAGTTTGCTGACTTTCTGTTGGTGAGGAAATTGTGCATCAACTGCCGTTTAAAAGACTCCTTCTGTCTTCCAGCCTGCATCAGCCAGAGGAACAGGGATCCAGGTCATCCACAAATGGAGTCAGCTGCCTCGCAAGAGGCCGCTGCTTGTGCAGAAGTAAGCATCACAGAGCCGACGGGTCCGATTTCCTCTGTAAAACACAACAGTTGTATAAGGAAACTTTTCTCTCCTGCAGATACCTTCACAAGCCCTACCTCATTGGCGGAAACAAGTTCGACTTACGGATCTACGTCTATGTGACGTGCTACGATCCGCTCCGTGTTTACGTGTTTTCCGATGGACTCGTCCGCTTTGCCAGCTGCAAGTGAGAATGATGGACATGCTGTGGCTTAACGGGGCCTGGGACTGGTGCACATTGATGTGATGCTCTGTTTTTTCTGCAGGTATTCGTCTTCCATGAAGACTCTGAACAACAAGTTCATGCATCTGACCAACTACAGCGTGAACAAGAAAAACTCTGAGTACCAGACCAACAGTGACGACAAAGCCTGCCAAGGACACAAATGGTTAGTCTACGGCTAAACTAGGAGTTTTTTTTTTGTTTTTTCAACCAAGTTTCACAATAACAATGACTAAAAACATATTCTTCTTAAAATACTAACTTTTGATTTCAATCATCCTCTCTGGGAGGTAACCTTTATTTAAAGGACAACAAAATGCTTTTAAAACATGTTTCACAATGAAAATCTAAATCTACATGGTAAATTTTTTTTTTTTTTTGCCCTTTTTGGGCTGATTCTCCAGTCGTGCAAGAATTTTTTGATAAGGCTGACTTTCAGCCTGATGGTGCTTCGTGTAGTGTACAGGGCGTAACGAGGGGCGATCATTCTCTAACAACCACCTCCCCATCAGGAATCATAAGGTCGGGAGAAAATCAAACATTCAGTCGGGCGTCATAAGGTGGTCGTGGGCAAATTGCTCAGTGCACAAACAAGTATTCTTCTTTTTCTTCCTTTTAGACGAAAACACAGAATCCTTTCCCCCCAGCTGGGATACAAGGCTTCCTGTTTGCAGGGCGGGTCACTCACTACTTGAGCTAGGCAGCTGCTTAAAAGTTCAGAACTCCTCTGTGTTTAACACTCGGACGCCCCAAAGCTACGATTTCTTTATTTTTTCTCTTAAATAATAAGCAGCTTGTGATGAATGCTGTTTTCTGTGGGTAAACAAACACAGCCATCAGGCCAAGGAACATGCGTTGCTGGTAGGATTGGAACCTACATGGGGAGACACCAATGGATTTCCAGTCCATAGCTGTAACCTCTCTCCCCAAACAACACGAGATCACGTACAAGTCGCATTTATTTGGAATCAGAATTCAGTGTTAATGCCTTCAGTGTAAATGTAGCCTAAGATACTGTGAGCTGTATAAGGAGTGGATTGGTGAAAAAAAAAATCCAGATTTTCTTTAAATTAAATCCTCCATGAACAAAAAACTGATTAATTAATTATATTTATTCATCCATCCCTAGGCTCTGTGGAAAACTGTAATGCCTGTTTGCTGTTGATAAGAGCTTCCCAATGTGTCAGCCTAAGGCTGGCTGTTATAGAGCAAATACTGCATCCCAATAATCTGAATTGTGAAAAGATTTTCTCTGCCCTCGATTCCCACATTGGACCTGTTTTTGAGTAGTCAAGATGTTAAAGCACAGATATTATCATGGAGAATAGTGAAAATGATGTTGGCTATATTCTGTCCACAATATTCTGCAATATTTTTCCTGTTTGACGTTTTCCTGACCTATTGTGGCCCTACTGTTCAGCAGAAAGCAGTTTTTCCCTGTTAGAAATGTTAAAGACGAACATGCTTGTTGTTTGTCTTCTCAGGGCCCTGAAGGCTTTGTGGCACTACCTCGACTCTAAAGGAATCGACACCAACCTGATATGGGAGAAGATTAAGGACATTGTGATCAAAACGATCATAGCGTAAGTTTCCAGTTACGGAGCGTCTCCACGGCTACCAGGGCTTCAGTGACTGCTCTGTGGTGCGATGCTAGTTACAGCCTTCAGGTTGAGAAATAATGATGCCTTTGAAGTGCATCAGCTCTGATTTGCTGTCAGCAGGTTTCTTGCTGGCGGTGGCTTTTTAACAACCATTTTTCTTCTGGCTGCGGTCTGACCTGCCCTTAATATGTTTGGTTATTGAATTCATAAACATTATGGGGATCAGACTCACTGCTGCAAATGTTAATCTTGGGCTGCATTTAACGATTATTTTGCATATTGACTAATCTGTTGATTATTCCGTTGATTTAATCAATTATTAATTGGATATCCGAAGCTTCATTAAAGAAGACTTTTTACTTAATTAAACCAGTTGAATCTAAAACCTTTCCACTTGAGGAGTTTTTTATAGAGCATATTGACAGATGCAAGAGAAAAAATTTTTTTAGAAATGTTTCTACAATTTTGGTATTACTTGCTTCTCCGTCAGCTAAAAGCATGTTTTAGAGTCTCTGTAGTCCAGTAAATGATTAATCGATTACTTTAGATCTTAATGTCCACAAATAAAGACGGAAATAATATTGTTGGTGGTTAAAAAGGAATTGTAGGGGACCAGCCAAAGCCCCTTCAAGGAAAGTGGGGAAATTTTGAATGAATGGTTACTACTGTAGTTTGCATATTAAGGAAGATATGAACTTAAAATGGAGAATAGATTGAAATAAAAGAGGGTGAGTGAGCAGAGACAAAACAAGATATTAGCTTAACTCATGAAAAGGGTTAGGGTTAGACACCTGGTAGAAAGGCTGCAAAGTTCGTGTCTTTGGAAGCTAAACAGATGCTCAAAACTCAACAACTTTCCACATGTGTTTGCTCCTCAGTTCTGAGCCGTACGTGAACAGCCTGATGAAGATGCACGTGAAAACGCCCTACAGCTGCCACGAGCTGTTTGGCTTTGACATCATGCTGGATGAGAACCTTAAACCCTGGATCCTGGAGGTCAACATATCGCCCAGGTGACACACGGATCCACGCTGCCAGACGCGTGGCTTCCTGAGCTCATCTTTAACTCTACCTCCTTCTGTTCAGCCTCCACTCCAACTCGGCGCTGGACGTCTCTGTTAAAGGGCAGATGATCAGAGACCTTCTGAACCTGGCCGGCTTCAGGATTCCTCCAAAGGAAGAGGTGGGGTCGTCCTGCAGCAGTGCCTCTAGCTCCACCAGCAGGTGAGGATGTGGTTCTACATTTCCTATTTTCTATTACAGTTCCTATTTCTTTTTATGCAACTCTTCTACAAACTTTGATAAAAATCCATGTTTCTGTTTCTAGTTTGAATGGAGGAAACAAAGAGAGGAGGAAACCCAAAACATCTTCTGATGAGAAAGTAAAACGTGCCTTTTTCCTCCAACGTTATGCCAACCAGGTAAACAAACACTGCTGTAACCAGGGAGAGTCTATGGACCAATCATCATTTAAAGGAATAGTACACCCAAAACATGATTAGCCTTCATTTTCTACTCACCCCCATGCTGAACAACACTCTGGAGTACTTTTTTGATATCTCAAATGCATCTGGAGATCTGGGAGGCTTCTTGCTGTCTGCTGACATTCAAATAATGGAGGTCTATGGTGCCCGAGACAGAAAGGTCCATTAAAGTCCACAAAAACGTGTCAATATTCCTCCATACTGCTTGTCCAATGTATTCAAAGTGTCCTGAGTGGGTAGCGTCCATAATTTACTCGAAACGAAGTCATTTAGAATGTTTTTAGAGCATAAACAGTAGTGTATAGGATTTCCTGAAAGCGCGCACCTGCGCGTTCATGACGCTACGGAAGCCGGCAGACCAAACCAGATGAAAGTGCGCATTCAGCGTCTGCTCTGCCAATAATGCAAGCGTAGAAGAAGAAATGTGCTGTTTACCTGTGCAAAGAAAGAAACAACGAAAGAAAAATGTCTGAGGACTTCAGTGTTGAGGAAGAGCATGAGTTCTTTGCCGAGCTGAATGCGCACTTTCATCTGGTTTGGTCTGCCGCCGTTTCCGTAGACTCGTGAACGCGCTTTCAGGAAATCCTATACACTACTGTTTATGCTCTAAAAACATTCTAAATGACTTCGTTTCGAGTAAATTATGGACGCTACCCACTCAGGACACTTGGAATACATTGGACGAGCAGTATGGAGGAATATTGACACGTTTTTTGTGGACTTTTATGGACCTTTCTGCCTCGGGCGCCATAGACCTCCATTATTTGAATGTCAGCAGACAGCAAGAAGCCTCCCAGATCTCCAGATGCATTTGAGATATCAAAAAAGTACTCCAGAGTGTTGTTCAGCATGGGGGTGAGTAGAAAATGAAGGCTAATCATGTTTTGGGTGTACTATTCCTTTAATGAATATTTAATTCATTTTCAATCAAAGATGAGCTTGAGTTGAACAATTTAGAAAGAAAACGACGTCACTGACTCTTCTCCTCCTGCCTTATTTAGGACTCTCTGTCATCAGTGTTGGACATTTTGACCCCGGAGGACGTCCGCGTGCTGGCAGAGAGCGAAGACGAACTGACTCGACGAGGACAATTCCAGCGACTTTTCCCTTCCCAGTCATCGTCACGCTACCTCCGCTTCTTCGAGTGTCCCCGATACCTCAACATCCTGCTGGACGAGTGGGAGCAGAAGTTCTGGGGAGACCGGTCAAAATGTGCGTGTCCAAAAAAAATATGTTCGCTCTGCTCTTTGTTTAGGTTTAGCAGTTGAATACTGAGTGCCAATTGCTGGAGATATATTAGTGTGATGACAGATAGTTGAAGCTGCATCTATTGTGCTTCAGGGGAAAACCTGAAGTTTAATTTAGAAGAGTGAAATCCTTATAAACAAGTCAGAGTGAGTCTCACTGAAACGACTATGGTAGTTGAATGGATACAGTCCTTAAAAGCTCTGAAATACCCATTTTTAATGTCTTTTGTGTGCAGGTATCAGCCTCCTGAGAGGCCTCTGTCAGAAGGGAATCCATCTTGGAACCAGTGATCCTGCCCACATGGTGAGCAGCCCCGGGTTAATCCCTCTCATTGATCGTCTCATCAGATCTGAGTTATTTAGTCAAAGAAGCTATTTTATTCCGTTTCCATGAAGGAAATGGAAATGGAACAACGCAGCAAACAAAAGACTCAGTCAAAGGGAAATATGTGAAATGTCCTTCATCCTTTCAGTCACTCATTTGATTTGCTTATCATTTTCATTAAATCAGACAATTAGAGACACACTGAGACATCTGGCATTTGTAAGATTTCCAGACTGATCAGGAAATTGAAAATCAGAACACATTTTCTTTTGATCAGTGAAAATAAACCCGTCACTGACAGCAAAGGTCTTTAATATAGAAGTTGGTTTACTGCCTGAGGGACCGTCACACCTTGCCAGCGTATGCCCAACGTTCCCGAATCTCCTAAAAGGCTGGCATACGCTGAACTTTCTATGCATTTTTTTAAATTTTGGGTGTATACATAGCATATTCATAACGATTCCAGAACTTATGTGCAATGACTGCCTAACTTGTGCATCATGCACAGCAGCCTAATGCCCATTAAATGATGCACAAGCATCATTTAAAGGGCAATAACAAACAACAAGTAAAAACGCCCCCCCAAGGGCAACCCCGCCCCAGAAGGGAGCAGTGAGGCGCCTGGTCTGCATAAAAAGATGTCTTTAATCATGGAATTAACCTAGCTGAGAAAAAAAAAAATCAATTACAAGAAAAAAAAGAAAGAAGGTTTGCAGTCACAGCAGATTCAACCAGCGGGAGATTCCATTACACTCACCTTCTTGCTCACCTTATGATGGGGATGAACTCTGGAGGAGAACTGATGCTTTCCTCCTGTGAACTCCCTTTCATACCAAAATGCTGCCAATATGCCATTAAATAGTAGCTGTAAGTGAGGAACACGTTCAATAGTCGTCTGGAACACGTCAAATACATTGATATGCATTGGAGATAAGTTCGTGATAAGTTATGCACAAGTTACTCATAGGTTTTGGATAAGCACTTAACATATGTCAACGATCAGATAACTTGCCTGGAACTTATGCCCCACGTATAGCATAAGCTCAGCGTGCTCATAACGTATACAAACGTACCCATAACTTATCCAACGTATGCCAGCGTTTTGCCAGAGTTTTCGTATTTCAGTCATTAGCTGTCTAAATCGTCAAGGTGTGACAGAGAGTCAGTTTCTTTCAGGCAGCTGTTTGTTGAAGCTGCTACCTTTTAAAAGTGAAGCTTCACTAAATCACAAGAAGCTGAAGTTATTTCAATTTTATTTCTAATAGTAAATGTGTTGATTTATTTTTACTGAAAAATAAGCTCTAAAAAGGTATTTATACAGTTTTCTAAAAGTTTTCTATTTGGTGATGAGCTTTGAGGTTGGAAGGCCTCTCTGCCATCACCCTAATCTATAGCTCAGATTCAGGTCTGGGCTGTTGCTCTTACACTAATACCAAACACTTTTTATCACATGGGAATAGGGGTGGGTATTGGCAAGGGTGTAGTGGTGCGATATGCATCGCGATACTTGGCTCACGTTACGATATCGTCACAAATTGCCATATAAAGATATATTGCTGTATACTTCCCAGCTAATATTAAAATTAAATGTAGAGATCAAAAAGCAGGTGCTGTATATTCAGTAGAAGTTATTCATCATTCAGTTATTATGTTATTTTGGTAGCCATGTTGTTTGGGATTTGGGTCACTCCGCATCTTCTACTGTGATTGCCTCTAAGCAAAAGAGCTTCAAGGCCCCATCTACCGCAGCGGGGGTGCGGAAGTAATGCATATTCACCCATTTTTTTTTTTTTTATGGGAAAAAGATTTTAGAAACTTAAAGGTATAGTACACCCAAAACATGATTAGCCTTCATTTTCTACTCACCCCCATGCTGAACAACACTCTGGAGTACTTTTTTGATATCTCAAATGCATNTGGCAAGGGTGTAGTGGTGCGATATGCATCGCGATACTTGGCTCACGTTACGATATCGTCACAAATTGCAATATAAAGATATATTACTGTATACTTCCCAGCTAATATTAAAATTAAATGTAGAGATCAAAAAGCAAGTGCTGTATATTCAGTAGAAGATATTCATCATTCAGTTATTTTGTTATGGTTATGGTTTGTTTGGTAGCCATGTTGTCTGAGGTTTGAGTCACTCTGCATCTGCTTCTGTGATTGCCTCTAAGCAAAAGAGCTTCAAGGCCCCATCTACCGCAGCGGGGGTGTGGAAGTAATGCATATTCACCCATTTTTTTTATGGGAAAAAGATTTTAGAAACTTAAGGATCGATATTATATTTATATAATATATGTTATATATATTATAAATATCACAATATATTGCCAAATCCATTTTTCCCCATTTTTCGGACTGGTTTGATAATCTCTTTATCCTTTTAGCAAATTAGTTTAATATCAACTCCAGATGGTTCAGCAGCAGCAAAACTCAAAAAAAGAGTACAGATTAAAGAGAGAATTGAAAAAGCTTCCTGGATGGGAAGCGATACGTCGTCAAACTTGGAAACAAAGTCAAGCGAAATCTTTTTTGATTTTTCTGGAAAGATTAAAGAGTCACCCCTATTTCTCCCCCCACCCCCCGCTGTGGCTCCTTGTAATGTCTGGGGTCAATATGAACATTTTGATCCCAGCGTTGAAGACACTGCACGGCCAAGCTGCTGAATATTAGCCAGACTGGTTTGATGTATACAAGACGTATCAGTCTGCTGTTAGAGCCTGACTGCGAAGGAGGGACTAACAGAGTCACAGTCATCAGGTTAGATGGCGGCGACTCATTTTGTTGTCCATGAAACATGTCAAAGTGAGAAAAGGAAATGCATCCTTTTTAAAAAGAAATCATGCTAAATACAGTAGCAGTCATTCATTCCTTACTACTCAAACGACAGCTGAATGGCAGCCCACTTCCCTGCAGCAAAATCCCCTCCAACTTCCAGCCACTGGCCTCCTACTGGACATTCATATTTCTTTACTCTGACTCCATCCTTTCACCAAATGACAGGGTCTGGCCAGGAGATGATGCTTTTCTTTAGATCTTAATGTCCACAAATCATGACAGAATATTTTAGTACAAAGATTGATGTTTAAAAATCAATTATAGGGAACCAGCCAAGGACGCATCAAGAAAGATGGGGAAAATTTTGAATGGCTACGACTGTATGTCCGTTGTTGAGGTTTTCAAGTTAGAAGAGCCTTAATTAGGACATCAGAAAGGCCAACATTGACACAGTTCGTCATTGAGTTCGCCATCTTGCTGTTATCTTAGGAGAAAGACGCTGAGAGTCACACATTTCTAAGTCCCACTTCCTCCTTTTTGATTGGTCATTTTGATTTTTGAAATGTGCTGAAAAATAAACCCAACGTACCTACTGCATAAATTAAGAGTATTACTGTGAATCTACCAGATGTATGAATCATTTTGGACTCATTTTTGGCTTCTGTGAACCTTTCTGTGCCTTTTGTGACGCTAGCTATACTAGTCCTAAGAAGGTCTTAACATTTCAATTTTAAATCCATTCTTTGTTTTAATCTATTATAAAAATTATGTTGATCCTAATCTAACAGAGAGGCTCCATTAGGCTGCTGATTATTATCATCATTATCCTCAAAGATAGTTTGTTGTTTTTCATGGTGCATAAACGGCTCCATAGTAAACGGTAACCTAGAGAATTTGATTGGTTTAGTAGATTTTCATGGTCTGTTACTTCTGTCCGTTTTTGAGAAAATTAACTCAGAGCTCAAGCATTGGATCAGATTGGTGTAAGTAGATCAGGGCTTTATGAATGTTGTTTTTCAATGTCTCCTGATTGGTGCAGACCTGTTGATAATCCATCTGTGCTTAAACACGATTTCTGTTTCAAGCAAATTTAATCAAGACCCAAGCAGACAGACCAACATATGCTGGTTGTAAATGGTTCTGTGAACCATTGCAAAACTCCATTCTAGTTTGAAGTAAAGTTGTTCAGTCTGAGCAACTTTACTTCCAACAAGCTCTATGTTTGGTTTATAATAATAATAATACAAGTAATAATAATTGAACTTTATTGATCTCCCATTGGATAAATTTATCTCTGCATTTAACCAATCCCCTTTCGGAGCAGTGGGCTGCCATTGTGTGGCGCCCAGGGAGCAGTGTGGGATTAGGGTTTTGCTCAGGAACCCAGAGTTCAGGCTGTGGGGATCGAACCGGGTACTTGCAACCTTCTCAGAGCACAAGCGCACTGCTCTAACCCCTAGGCCAACTTTCCCTCAGTTATTATTGAGTACAGAACGCAGTCAGTGTGTGGATCCACAGAATGACTGAGATACATCTTGGACACAAACTACAGTGAGACCAAGAGGAAAACGTGTTTCTCTCTGATTGTCTCTGCAGTGGTCCAAGAGCCCAGGAATCCCCCCCAGGACTGCCCCCCGGAGGCTACCGAGTCCATCTAGATCCAGGTAAACCAGCTCTTCATGGTCTTCATCGCTTTGTGTTTCTGGAAAGTTCAGGAGACGGCAGCTATGTTAGTAGAGCCACCTGATTGTTTTTTTTGTTTTTTTTCCCTCTATTTAGGTTTTTTAATCAACCAATGGAACAGAGCCATTACTTTAGCCAATCAGAAAGAGAGTAGAGCAGATTTTAGCAAAGCGGACCCCTGTTGGTCGTTTTTTTTTGTGTTCTGTCATTTAAACATTTTAGAAGAACATGACAGACGGTTCACAGGTGACATGAATGAAAATAGTGTTTGGAAGTTTTAAAGTTTCATCAGAGGGGAAAAAACAAACCTAAAAAGAAAATATCATCTTTGATCAGTGTTAAAGCCCCTTTCGCTCCTTGACGATTTAGCCAGCGAAGATCCTGACTTCCCAGAATCTTCTAAAACGCTGGCATGCCCTGAACTTTCTTTGTATTATTTCAATTTTGGAAGGAAACATAGAGTATTTACAACGAATCCAGAGGAAAAATGAGGGTTTAGCCTCACAGAACCACCACAGAAGAGACTTTTTACCTGCAGAAGTACCTGACCCTCATTCTTTCTGTCGATCTGCAGGGTGGTGGTCAGTCATCAGACCAACGCCTCTGATGAGGATCGCTCAGACCCCGAATCAGCGTCGGTCTCCTGTCAGTCCGGCTCCCAAAGTCCTGGATCAAGTATGACCAGCAGTGCCTATGCCAGCCCTCAGCACAGCCTCACCCAGAACCGGCTGTCCTAGAACTGACAGAACCCTGGGTCCATGGAGCTCCTGCGCAAACCGCCCTAATCCAAGAGCTGGGGGTGTTGTCTGTTTAATTTAAACAGACTGCCAGCTGATTTGGCCTTTGGAAAAAAAAAAAAAAAAAAAAAAGTTTTTCTTTCTGGTATTTAGTGTTTTCATGGTGCCTCAAAATGTGGGTCATCCTACTTTAAGGGAAGATGACTTGATGACCCAGCTGCAGTGGACGCAATCAGAGCTTCAGAACATGTGGTCTCCTTGGATCAGAACTTTCCTGCTCTGATCCGTTCCGTGTCCCATCAGTGGAGAAACATGAACTTATGGTAGATTTATTTTGCTGACAAACGTAGGAAGCAAGCTTAAAGATCTCAAGTGGTCGCCATGGTAACGGGAGGTGAGAGGATGCAGACAGAGTTCAGATTCTGCCTGGTAGAGTCTGCGCTGCTGTGTATCCTGCTCTGTAGACGTTTTTTCAGAAGGAGAAATCACTGTGATTATCTCTCCCGAGCTGCTTAGCTCCTCACAAGGTGCCATTTTCCTCCTCTGCCTTCAAGCTGATGCCTCTGCAAGCTGAGGACAGGAAATGCTGGGCTCCTGTATTACCGAAGCCTTTTAGGAGCTCCACCTGTTCTGCTTTGAATCTAACATGTTTGAAGACGGCCGTTTATTTGAGCCCATTGTGGTTCTTCTATTTGGGTTTCAGATGGACGTGCTAACTTCCTATAGCTGTCATGGTGAAGGGAAGCAGGAAAACGGCGGGAAACCAGCCGTTCTGAGGCCCCCAAACTAAGGATGCAAAAAGCTGAACTAGTGCTGATTAATGTCTGCAACAGTGTTTACTACAATTAAACATTTTTAAAAGTTTTTTTTTTTTTTTTTGTCACATTTTGTTTTGTTTTTAACCCACTTTGCACACGACTGGTTTCTGGTTTTGTGAAAGCTGCTCCTCCTCAGCAGAACTCTGAGGACAATGTTTAATATCATCGCAGAACCAAAACCAGTTTTCACTGATTAAAAGTCAGACTGGAGTGACGTGGCGCTGCCATGTAGTTACACGTGACGGTCACGGGGGGCGCTGCTGCACATTATTAGAGAATTTTAACCATCACCTGCCTTAGAGTTGTGCCTTGTGTTTTGTTCCAGTGACTCACAGAAAAGGGTGTCTAACATCAGGGAGTTTCTTGCTTGATAAACTATTTGAAGTGGTTGCTTAGAGTCAGCAATTCCCCAGTTTGGGGTCTAAACTACTTTTGAACTGACAAGTGTGGAGTATTAAGACCTTTAGTCATGAAAAACACAAAATATAGCATTTCAATAAAAATGGTACTAACTTCCTGCATGGGAGATAAAGATAATATCTTAAATGTTTATTGACTTGGGCGGTGAGGGTCATGAGTGTGTTATGTGGTGGGAAATTTAGAGGTTTGAGTCATCTGGTTAGTTGGTGCAGTGATCATCTCTGCATCTCTTCCTCCACGCTGCCAGCAGGTTCTTTCTAAACTCCCACTTATTCAGTTTTTTCTAATAACAGCTACAGATGTTTGCACAGAAAAGCGTGAATGGGCTTTAAATCTACCACCCCAGTGTGTGTCGAGCTGCTGTTGATTAAAAAAAATAGATTTGCTGTATAGATTGGCCACCGCTGTGTGACGGGAGCTGTGACGCTCTCAGCTCTGTATTACTGATGATGGATCTCCTCTGGATCCGTTTTCAACAAACCTTGTTTTCTTGATCAAGGCTGTTGTAAATGCTCAGGATTATAAAGAGAAAATAAAAGTTATTTGTCATACGAGTAAAAATTTGCGGCTCATTCTTAAAGCATTCAAGTCGATGTTTCTAAATGCAGTTCAGTTTGGTTTATTGGAAAGATCTAATTTATTACTTAGTAATATGTTAATAAATGGTGAGCTAAATGATTTAAAGGAAAAGTGCGGTCAGCAATGAATAATCAATGGATCATAATCTATAACTAATATATTCGCTGTAATTTAATGATTTTAGGGTGAATCAGTAAAAAAATAAAAGTAATAATTCTCGTTGCGATCACTGAGTCCGGGACCTTCCGTTTTTGCCCAAATATAGTAACACCTCACTCCTGACATATTCTGGCAGTGGACTACAGACTGCCACTCTGGCTCCCTGAGCTTGACCCTTAACCCCAACACCGCTCCCCAAGCGCCGCACAACGGCAGCCTACTGCTACCCAAGGGGAAGGGTTAAATGCAGAGTGTTAATCTCATTGCTCTGTTCCTGTGACAGTATTGACAAAACTATAGCCGAACCAAATTAAACAGTAACAGACTAAAAACCTTTCAGTAAATCATAAATTGCCCACATTCACATACTTTTATTAGAAGAAACTGCACTTACAATATTCACCACTGTTCAGCGCAAAGCATCTTTTTCCTCTGAGAACAGAACAGCTGGTGTTTTGTCAGACCAGCATACCCAGTCAATACGCATGTGCAAGATGTCAGATTTGCATAAACGTATGCTAGTCCCATTTATCCCTTTAGTTTTGTGCGAAAAATACACTTAAATCTACCTCAATTGGCATGTATCCCTTTAGTATTGTACAAAAAAAAAACTGTATGGTCATATCGCCACACGCTTCAAAAAGGTAATTAAATATTTTTTTTTGTACATGACTAAAAGGATCCACACCCATTGCGGTAGTTTATTAAAGTGTATTTTTCATACAAAACTAAAGGAATAAACTGGTATTGACTATGGGTGTGCTGGTCTGATAGAATGCGGCTTGCTTGGACTCTCAATGAATCATGGGATATCCAAGGCTACAACGGTCCCATCCTTCAAAGCGGGCAAAAAGAACTCCAATCTGAATGGACCTTGGCGCCACGCTGTGATGTAATCAGTCAACGAATCTGGAGGACGCAGCCCCTGAAATCAAACTCTGTATATGTTCCCAGGTACAGTAGTTCAACACTTTATCAAATGTTGCTTAAAAGAGGTCATTCTGACTGTTGATAAGAAATCTTTCAAGAGGAATAAAATCTAACATCAGAGACTTCCACAGATGTTTTTAAGGAGGTTCATCTCCAACCAATTTAGTCATAAAAGCTTTTCGGTCCAACATAAGCAAGAATTGTACAGTGTTGTATGTGATTTTAATGATTAAGGGATCTTATCCCAGTTAGCATATTATTGGTTTAAGCTGTAGCTACTGCCTTGTTATCACACTGACTTCATCACACATTCTGCCAAAACCAAAAACTGCCAAAAATGTTTGAAGCCAACTGTATAAGAAAGGCTCACTTTGCACAGTTGCAGGACAGATGGCAGTTTTTAAATGAATAAAACATAGTTTATTTGAGGTATTTTCATAATTGTGAATAAGAGCTACGATGACGATGCAAATAATTGCCTCTTAATAAAACAACACCCTATCTTAGACTGATGTGCTATTTGATGCAAAGCCAGTTTTCAGCAGATAAACATATTTGCTCTGTCAGATGTGTAATGTTTAACTACAAAGCAAATCAACTAATTGCAGATTCTTCAAATGTAGCCAAGATAAGATAATTGCTTTTGCATATCCTCCCATTATTTTGCATGTTTTTATGATCCGCACGTTCTGCATTACGACGTAAACACTGACTGCACCTGCTGTCTGCTTACTTTAGAGATGCAATCTGTCAGGATTTCCATTCGTTTTTATACACTTTTATTAGTAGATCAGGCCCTGAGTAATTAATGTTGCAAAGGTCCAGTAGCATCTTTCTAAACTTTAACTCCCTTCGAATATCCCGTCAGAGTCAAGACTCTGGGCTGAACCGCTCAGAAATGCTAATACACTGTAAATGGAAGTTAGAAGAAACATTTTAGTCGCTTTAATAGTTTAAACCTAAATGTGAGGAGGGATGAATAATTGTTTTAGATGTAAGTTAGGCATATTGACACTTAAGTGCAAAATGGAGATATCTGCAGCTAAAATAAGTCATATGTTAATTATAAGAAAAATAAAATAGGCACGAATCTTTCTCATTAGTGCAATTTAAAAAGTTAAAACCAGATATTTATCTTCACTGTTTAAAGACACAGACACAAAATTCAAACCATTAAATCCATGAGCAATGAGGGAAAATAAAGGTGTTTTTATGCGGGATGCTGTGTGTGAGGCCAGGTAAGTTGCCATCGAAGTGCTCTGAAGTAATAACTTTAGAACTCGCCACAGAGATCTTTGAGACAGGCTTTAATGGACTTTCTGGTCAGATATGTTTTGGGCCTAATCTTCCCAGGAAGCATCAGTGTGGTGAATAAACACGGCAGGATTCATCATTATAGTTTAGCTGAACTCAGCAGATTAGTGGATGCAGCTTCAGCTAAGTGAGTCATTATTACTTCTGCACAGCAGATGATGTGGTTTAAGAAAATAGTTGCTCAGCAGAATCAATAGAATATCCTATTTTCATAGATTTACAAACATTTCAACTGGAGTTTGAGGTTAAATGTATAAACTGCTAGCTGTGCAAAGCAGGAGTAAGTCTTGGAGTGGCTCAGTGGAGCTATAAATAGTTAATGCTCGATGTAACCTGAACGTCTCACTCAGGTCCACAGAAGCCTTAAAGCTGCACTGCAACCGTTATTCTTTTTTAAAAATAGCTAAATAAGTTCAGTAACCGTACCTTGATGAGTCATTGGTAAACTGACCGTCAAGCTATGATGCATTCCTCCATTTTTAAAGCGAATCAAAACAAACACCTGGTCATGGTCCACGCCGATGATTTCTGCTTTCATTCTTCGCTTCTGTGCAGGAGTTTGCTGCTTCAGCATCCAGTCGTTGGATTGTACAGCACATAATTCTCTTCCTTTGTATCTATATATATACTTTAATTCTTATTAGCATCAATCATTTTTCAGTCCAGCAGCTAATGGCCTGTTTTGGGTTCTGACCAGAAACATTTGTGGTCCAGCAAGCTTTGCTCGTTTAAAATGTTATCTTTGCAGCTAAAACTATTCATCGATGTACCGTATGTGTTCATTGGAATAAAATTCTAAGTTGTTTATTTCAATATATTTATGTAATCCAGCTGAGTTCACTCTAATTTATGCAGAGGCATACTTCATTTTAAGTCATTGTCTTCTACTTTTTAATTATTAATCCAGGGAGAAGAACTGAGCCATTATGATGTTGTACCTGAATGCTCTGAGAACATGGCAGCAAAAACACTTTTTCTTTAATTGATCAACTATTCAATCTAAGTGGTTGTGCTGAAATGAAGGTTTTTAGGTGTGTTTATCAAGAGTCAGGGCCATCCGGCCATAGAAGTGGCAACAGGATATTAGCACGGGTGCAGGGCTAGATTACCACTGGCGGAAACCAAAACAGCAATTACAAAACTTATCTCTGAAGGAAACATGAGTGATCGGCTGAATTTCTGCAGGATTAAGATGATAAGTCAGCGATTTGTCCTCATTCTCATTTCAACACGGAGAGACTCACACAGAGAAAAGCTGCAATTAGAAAAATATTCAGTTTATTTATGCAGGTAACACAATCATATTCTTCAACATATTTCCGAGGGAAACCAGCTGATTGCAAGGACTCATTGACTCTCCACAATTCCTCTCACTGGGCATGCATGTAGTGACAGTGGAGAGGAAAACTCTCTTATAAAAGGAAGAAACCTCCAGCAGAAGCAGGTTCAGTGTGAGCGGCCATCTGCTGAGGCCGACTGGGGTTCAAGGAGACAGAAGCAGATAAAGACATAAATGAAATAAGCTCTTTTGCAGCCGGCAGAAAACGTTGATGCTATTAATCAACATTTGCTTGGATGAGTAACCTAGTGTAGAAAAGGATTAGAGAAGTCTTCAACCATGGCCAGAGGATAAATAGGACTGAGCATAGTCTGAGAAAGAGGGATGAGATGGTGTGCGGGAGAGGGAAGCCAGGCCAGAGCTAAATGAAGGGGATCGTGAAAGATGATTAGCTTTGCAGAAGGTGCAGCCCCTGCATTAATTGGCTGGAGCTGAACAAGGACATTGCAGGTGAAGCTGATGAATCTTCCAGATTGAATTTACACTTAAACTTCATTCCTTCCAGGGATGAAAGGATTGAATGCTACAGTTAGTTCTGCTATACTGACTCCAACATGTTCAACCAAGAACAATGCTTTGAATTAGGAGGCAGGGTTAAACATCCTACAAGAGCAACTCCATCCAAACCAGCCAGAGATTTTGAAGAGAGGATTTGTGGATTATTCAGTATAGTGGACCACAACATGATAAAGAAGAAGCTCAAAGTTTAGCGTTCAAATCTTAGACCCTGATAAGAACATTCCTTCATTTAAAGAATTTCCTGAAAATTCAAGAACAAATGTGACAGAACCAAGCCGGGTTTGATGCTTCGTGTGGATTACAGAGGTTGACAGGATTTACACTGTAAATAATAATAAGCTGGATGCATTTTCTCCAAATATGTAAAAATATTTCAATACTTGCTAGAAATAACATACAGAAAAAAAAAAAACTACTGGCCATGAGATGTTCCATAAATAATAATAATTTTTATTTTTTTTTTATAATATCTCGGTCTCTCATGAGGACAGCTGCGTACTTTCAACCCTTCGAGGCGGATGCTGTCAGGCTCAAAGGTCTCGCCTTTGTTTATAAAGAAACTAAATGTAAAATCCTCTGATAAAAGCCTGAGCATTTCATCTGAGCACCACCACTGTTGCTCAGTAGCACCGTGGAACCACTGCACCATCCGTCATAGTCTGGATGTTTAAAGTCCAAAGATGTTTATTTAGAGACATTTCCCTGGTTTAACTCTGGCAGATGAAGACGTCCCATCTCATATTTGCTCTTGCATGAGCATGTAGGGTCTCTGTCCGCCCTCTGCTTTCACCCACCCATTCCCCCTCCCTCTCTCTCCCTCTGTAAATGCCACAGGCCTCCCACCCCTCGCTCCAGATTTAGACCTCAGTCTCTCCCAGGCACATGGACCCAGCTGTCCGCAGTACAGGATTCCATCACCAAACTCTTTGTTTTGCACTTCCTGTGTGTCTCCTAGCCCTGTCCACCATGCCTGTACTCCTTCATATTCATCGCCTCCTCATCTGAGATGGTTTTTATGCCAACGTTGCCCCTCGGCACAGACTGCCGTGCTCTGTGATGCCAATCACTTCTTTGAACACCTTGGTTCCACAAAGGTAGATCTACCAGTCTTCTTGGTCATGGAGGCTTTTGCAGAGGTAAGTCTCCTTGCAGACCCCCCCCCCTTTCCTGTGCATGTTGGTATCTGTGTTAAGACACCTCTCTGTAACTGAGAAGCTGTAAAGTAAAAACAGGCCGGCTACTCTTACACTCTTGAATGCTACGTCTCTACCTTCTATTTGAATTCTCAGTATAGCTTGTCAATTTAAGTACAACATGTGAAGATGAAAACACTTCACACTATTACTCCTGAGATGTGCACTGATAGCAGGTGTGAACGGTTATTGCAAGTTAAGCGTGCTCTGAGGTTCTCCTGCTGATAGCTACTTGAATTTCACAAATTTTTTCTTAAAATAAGTGCATTTGTTCTTAAATTGAGGAGGTAAAAGAGACACTTTGCCGATAGAACAAGACGATTTACATTTAAAATAAAGAAAACACAATAGCATTGTCTTATTTCAAGTGCATTTTATCTAAATATCTTGTTTTAAGAATAAAAATGCTCCTTCCATTGGCAGATCAGCTCAATAACCTACTCAAATGAATGGTAAATACACTTAATTTAAGACATTTTTGCTCATTTCTAGATTGTTTTTGCAGTGCAAAACAGGCCTCTTTTTGGAGCTTTTGCACATTTAGTCCTGATACCTCCACATATATGATGGCTGACACAAAGTGACACATATTTAACTAATACATTTTTTTTCATTAATAATCCTTGGAGATATCGTCTTTCTGGATGGTTATCAGTTTCAAATACATCATCTGCAGCTTTTAACAAGTTTTATTTCAGGACTGCAATGAATTTAGCTCCCTAGACCTAATGGCTGGTTGGACCCCCTTAGCAACATAACTACAGTCATTTTTTTGCTGCAATTTACATACAACATTTACAGCGCTGTGAAGTAACCAAGATCCACTTCTTTTTGCAAATTTGCTATAACTCAGCAACATTTGAAGATGTTGCAGCAACCCAACTGCTTTATATGGGAACAGAAGACCTCGGCTGATCAGCCAGGCCAACAGTTCCCTTTAACGACCACCTTTCAGAGACATAGACAGATATGGGGCTAACAAAAGAAGCCAAATGAAATGACCCCCATTCTAAAAGGGGTGGACCTGTTCGTACGTTTCAATTTGCATGTTTTCTAAGCAAAAACTAGGCTTTGTTGGGCTAAAAAGCCTCAAACTCAACGCTATTTCTGAAATTTGAATTGAAAAAGCTTCCTGGATTGGGAAGCGAAACATCTTCAAACTTGGAAACAAAGTCCAGTGGATTGTTTTTTTTTTTTTTACTTTTTTTTAAATGAGCATGATCAGCATTTTTAATTTGATTCAGGTCAAACAGGCCACTGCAAAGCCATTTAGGGGATTTGTAGGTGTGTTTTTCATAAACATAAACCTGCAGCGTCCATGTCCAAGCACCCATCATAATTGTCTTTTGTTCTGTCTTTAAGGTCCCCTTGTTTGAGATGGATGAGTATGAGGAAGAGGAAGTCCTCTCCATGAGGAGCAAAGGTAGTTAATCCTTTTCAAAGAGATCAAACAGTGTTGGCTGCTCCTCAGAATTGGCTTGATTAACTGTTGAAAATGTTGATGCATATTTTAGTGCTCGAAATTATTTCAGTTATGTTTTGTTGAAAATGTAATAATCATGATTGAATATATTAGCTGTTCAATGCAAAGCAACTTTACGAACTATTTTTAAATATACCGAAATTTCAAAAGGAAGCATTTTTTTAAGGGTGTCCTGCAGACTGATAGACCTCAGTGCAACTAAAAATAGAACTCATGGGTCAGTGTTGAGTCTCGGTGCTACTCAGATTCAAAAATATGGATTCCATCAACATTTACATTGTCTCTAAACAGAAACCCAAAGAGAGTTTGGTTTTCTTGATGTCTCCTGGCCCTCTTCACCATGCCTGTTCTCCTGTTGTGCAGAAAATGACTGCATATTTTTATTTAAGAGCGGAAAATCAACAGAACTGGAATCCTGCATAGAATTGCTTCACTGTCAATCAGCAGAAATTGATCTGTGAGGTGCTAAAAGAAGATTTTATTTCTTTAAACAAAAACAGAAATGTGTACCAACTTCAGCCTATTATCTATGGACTTAGACCAATGGTGTCCAGTCTAAAGTACTGAGAGCCCATAGAGTATGTATTTTTTTTATTTTTTATAACAAATGTTGTAAAAATTATTTCAATTATTTTCAATTCTATCAGTTCAGTTCTACCAGTTCAACAGCAAACTGTGTTTTGTAATATTTTCAGTCACATTTACAAAAAGGTTCCTGTGAACCTGGGAACTACTGGTCTAAATGAACTGCAGTGTGGCCCCTCCTCTTTTTCAAGGTCCCATGTTACTGATGTTGCAGCCTAGCAACTGTCTGTGCTTGCAAACTTTTGAATTCTGGTGAAGGGCCTCAGAAAACCATAGTGAGGATTGTAAATGGCTCCTGGGCCGCACTTTCGACTCTGCTGGGCTGAACAGTTTAAAAGCATATTTTTAAAGAAAAACCGACCAAAAAAACTGACAGCTTTTATATTGTAAACATGTTATGCAAGACTCACTCTGGTATATTTCTTCCTGGGTTACCCCACCGTTTGACCTCTAACATGGGCATGTGTTGTAGCATCACTGAAGCTACACATTCACCTATGATCATTTATTTCCCTCACATGTTTTATCTCCCTTGCTGTTATTATTTTTTTTGTAGGTGCCTCTTCATATGCTACGTACCCCATGGCGCCTCCTGCAGGAACAGACCCTGACGCCTACATTTACATGAACTTCATGAAAAGTCACAGTTGCTACGATGCCATGCCCAGAAGCTCCAAACTGGTCATTTTTGATACAACACTGCAGGTGCAAACTCTGACAGTAAAGGCATAAATTCCTTCATATTTTTATTTCTATTAATTAATTTTCTTTCTCACTCAGGTGAAGAAAGCTTTCTTTGCTCTGGTGGCTAACGGTGTGAGAGCAGCACCCCTGTGGGACAGCAAGCTGCAGTGTTTTGTAGGTGGGCAAAGAAACATCTCAGTGTTTATAAAGAGGAATTCTCAGCTGGTTTACTCTTAGTGGACACCTTAGATATGGAAGCAAATGGTTTCCATATTCAAAATGAAAAAGCATTTCCAGAAATGCTTTCTATCTTGTTCGGTAGGGGGCGCCATCTGCATTGCATTGCATTACATTGTAAGCGTACCGGTGGGAAACTGGTTGAATTGCCGGGTCTGACTATCGGGACATACTGAACGACCGCAATGACCAAAACAGTGGCAGAGCTACTGAGGGAGGCCGCTGCTGCTTTAAAGCAAGTGCCTGCTTCTAACGGACCTGTGGCAACGCCGACTGCTCCTGAGTTTCCCGCCGGCATGCTAACAATGTACTGCAATGCAGACGTGCACAGTGCCCCCTACTGAACAAGATGGGTAGCCCAGTCAGCAAGGACCTGAGGAAGAGCGGCTGCTGACGTCACTCTGCTGCGCCCGCCGCTCAGAATGCTTTTTCGTTTTCGAGTTATGGACAGTACTTTGCAGGCAGACCACGAAAACGGAAAAGCAATGTCCGCTGTGTTTTCTCTTTGATTATGGCATAAAATGTGCAGTCTTAAAGAAGAAAATGCAAAATGCAAATAGGATGATTGATTACTAATTTTATTTATGAGTCAAATAATGCAGCCATATCCTTAAAATGAAAAAGCATTTCTGGAAATGCTTTTTCATTTTCAAATTTTAAATTTCAAATTGAATTTTGGTATCTATTTGCTGGGGTACATTGTGAAAAATAAATCTCAAATGTCTTTTTCTTTTTCATTTTAATTAAGTAAAAGGATGAGCGGTGTTAAAGAAGAAAATGAAAATGCAAACAGGATGATTGATTACTAATTTCATATATAAGTCAAACAATGCAGCCACATTCTTAAAATGAAAAAGCATTTCAGAAAATGCTTTTTCATTTTAAATATGGTAAGGATTTGCTTCTATACCTTGTAAAGCTAGTGGATTCACTTTTTTAAACAAACTTTAGAAGCATTAAAACTAGGTGCGCCCTAAAGCTTTGAACTCCAGAAACCATTCTCAGCCAACATTGCCACGTAAATGTTCACCTGTTTGCTTCCTCTGCGATCAGAGGTTTAAGGTAGAATATGAAAATAGCATTACTGATTCTGAAATTAAGTCATTTTTCTAGCTGACATTCTGCAAGAGTCCCTGGGTTTGCAAACAATAGCAGCCATTGCTGATTTGTGGGTTAAAGTTAACAAACCAAACAATATGAGATTATGGAGATTAAATGGATATGACCAAAAAGCATAATAATTGGGAAACATTCAACCACTAAAAAAGCTCTGCTTAAGGACATCTTAAAATTACATCCTTTTTAACAGGATTTACTGTTTTCTGATCCTCAGAAAAGCCTCCTAAACTGGAAAAAATCAAAATCAAGAGAAGTCATTTTTTCTTAAAATAAGTGCATTTGTTCTTGAATTGAGGAGGTAAAAGAGACATTTTGCCAATTGAACAAGACAATTTACACTTAAAATAAGAAAACACAACTGCATTGTCTTATTTCAAGTGCATATTATCTAATTATCTTATTTTAAGAGTAAAATTACTCATTTAATTGGCAAACTATCTCATTTACCTACCCAAATTAAGGATGAATACACTTAATTTAAGAAATTTTTACTTATTTCTAGATAGTTTTTGCAGTGTAAAAGATGGTTCTTACACTCAACTTCAGTGGTTGACCGGTTAACCATGTGTCTATTCACCCCAGTTAAATGAACAATGATTGATGGATTTCACTCAGTCTGCACTTTATTTTATTTTTGCAAAGAGAGAACAGTTCATCATACTGCCCTTATTGCTTGGTAATCAGCCCTGTTCTCACCAGGCTAGCGTATGCCTCACTTACTTAAAGTAGTCAGAGTCAAAACAAATTACAGACACTTTGTTTTAAACAGTAACATGAAATGAATAAACCTTGAGAAAGAATCTGGCCTATTATGGGAATAAGTATGTCTTTTCTCCAAACACCCCTCACTCAAACATGGCCCCGTAGGTGAATCTGACTGAGAGAAAAACTTTTTCATTGAATAAATAGAATAAATCAATATATTAAATACCGGTAAGAGAAATCTAAATTTTCCAACCACAGAAGGTTAGTACAGAAATTAACTATATATAAAGTAAAGTTACTGAACATATATGATATAAGAATGGACTTCAAAAAAGGTACAAACAAATTAAAGAAACATCTTGTGGAGGGAGAAGTCCAATGCTATTGTTCTATTAACATGCAGATTGGTCTCCCCTGTTGAACGTTGCATTTTTTTTAGATGTTCTGGTCCTTTATAAGAAGTTAACTGATTGCAAATGACCTGTCAACAGGCTGAATGTTGAATGCAGTGTTTTTTTTACAGCTCTCTACCTCTGTTTAGCATTGTTTTTTCTATCATGAACTAAATGTCTTCCTTCATTCCTTCCACAAACATCTGTCTGCTCTGGAAAAATAGTTTATTTCCCCTAGCTATAGAGGACTGGTCACTCCTGTCAACATGCTGCTCAGTTTGTTTTTAGAAATGTTACTCTTAGGAGGAACAGCTTCTGTTTGAGTGTTTGAGTACATGTGAAGTTATCTGAGATGTTTTCAGAGAAAATATAAAGTTTATGGGATGTTTCAGAAGTATCTGAGATGACAACCTTTCCGCGTTTGTTCTTTTTCTTCTTCTGTTTAGTGGCATGATTACTGCATATTTTAACTGCACTGTCAAAAGCCCAGTGAGAATATCCAGATATCTATAAAGCTGTTATTGTAATTTATACTTACAGAATCTGTTCTGGCATTAAGGAATTAATGGTTTCTGGTGCCATTTCGTCCCATAAAAAACACCTTTTTTTAGCTGGGAAAATTGTAGTCTCTGACTCATGATCTAAAAGGCAATATTAGCTGAGAATGCATACCATTGCCTTTTTTAATATTTAGACAATCTTATATATCTCAATTTATTTTAGTTTTACCTTTAAAACTATCTCTAGACTCCCCTCTTGCTGATTAATGACCCTTGCTTTAAAACCACTGCTCTAAAATGTCAGGAATCCTTTTTCGTTAGCTTGTTAAAAATAGGATAGAGATTCCCTTAAAAAGAATTATTGAAACTGTTTAGCCTGTTGTTTAAAAAAAAACTGATGCACTTTTATGAGTCAGTTCTACTATTTCAGAGAAGAAAGCAATTACTCATACTCATCTTCAGCTTTATCCAGGACCAGGTTGCCGGGGCAGCAGTCTCAGCAGAGACTCTCTGACTTCCCTCTCCCCAGGCCCTTTCATGTCCAGGGGGCATCTGAAAAAGATGTCTGACCAAGCTCAGGAAACTGGAGGAGAAGGAGCTCTAGTCTGAGCCTCTCCTGAATGACCAAGCTCCTCTCTGCGTGCCCAGCCTTTCTGCTGAGCTCTCTCTTCACTACAACAGCCGGTTTGTTTTTGTGTCCTCATTTGTAAACAGGACCCAAGATATTCAAACTTCTCCACCTGAGGTAGGAACTCTTCTCCAACCTGAGTCAATAAGCCACCCTTTTCGAGTTCAGAACCATGGCATCAGACTTGGAGGAGTTGATTCTCAGCCCAGCTGCATCACACTCAAGTGCGAACAAGTCCAGTGCATTCTTTAAGTCTTAGCAGGAGGGACACACTATTACTTGGCGCATGAAACACACTTTCTGGTCCCCTCTCTTATGCAGAGTAACCACAAGCCTGTATCCCAATCTAGGGCCACTGTCTCTGCTGTCATGATGTTCACACAGCGCGTCAGCCATGGGTGCCAAACAACATCCACCCTCCGATGATGTCCTCATTCAGGTTCAGACGCTCCCCACTCCCACTTGAACGGTGTTGGCAAAGCACTGCTTCCTCACTTTGAGGGGCCGGATGGTTTGTCAGAATTGCTTAGAGGGCAACCAATAGTCTTTCTCGATTGTCTCTCCAAACTCCACCCAGGCTCAAGTTTTTGCCACTGCAACCGCCCGGACAGTGGCCTCACAATACCTGCTTGGTGCCTCAGAGGTTACACAAGCCAACCGGGCTAGATAAGATCCCTTCTTCAGCCTGAAAGCACCTCTTACTGCTGGTGTCTTCCACTGGGTTTTGGGATTGCAGCTTCGACAGGAACCACAGAGTTTATGGCCACAGTTACGGCCGGCTGCATCAGCAATACCAGCAGACAACATAGTTGACTTATTCTCCATGTCTCCAGCATCTCCCCAGAGGTTCAAGTTGTGTATGTCCCTTACCAAGGGCTCCAACAGACATTCCTAGCGGATCCTCACTCCTCTCTTTGGACTGCAGAGTATGTCGAGCTTCCTCCTCTTCCAGAGTATCCAGCTCAACACTAGGTGGTGATCGATGTGGCTGATGGTGGAAGAATGCGACTACAAAGTCATTCATTGACCTCCGGCAGCCACTGTCAATTCTTACATGGGTCTTTGAAGTATCCAAGTAGAATGGATTCCTTACTAATCCCTTGTTGATGTGGTTTTATCAAATATTGATCAATGTTGACTGAGAGATCAAATATCATGGCTTCACCTCTGGTACCTTATCTATTTTCATTGGTGAAATTCCTTCACATTCTATGACAGCTGCTCTATGGTTATATGTTGTATCTAGACAGAGGAAATATGGTAATTCAATAATAAAGAAACTTAGTCTGAAATTGCCGTTTGGCTTCAGTTTGTCTGCTGTGGAATATTAAAATGTATTTCAGAATAACTGAATTAAAATATTAATGATTTATTCACATTCTCAATTTATCCATGAGCTGTGCAGTGAACAGAATTAAGGCTCTTTTAAACATGAAGATGTTAGGCAGGTGAATGACCTGCATTCAGATTCCACTCTGGTTTCAAATGTTTGAAAGGAAAGCAGGTCAGCAGTTAGGAGTGTTGTATTACAAACAGGACAAATGCTCTGCTCCTCATGACACTTGTAATTAAAATGGTAGCAGCTTTAAAAATGCATGCTAAGCTTCTAAACAGTAAGGAAACACTTGGGTTCAAGAGGTTTCTTAATCTAAGAACTGGTCAATTTTAACTACCAATTTGTCTTCAAAGATTTTTTTTTTTACATTTAACATATTCTGCTAAAATTTGACTTCCCACACAAAACATTGGTTCCCAAGTTACACATTTGCATAAACTCAATTGTTTCTTTTTACCGCTTTCAACAGATAAACATCAGAAGCAGCAGCAGTCTAGCAGTGCAAAACTTAGAGGGAGCATAAAACATCAGCAGATCTATGTTTGTAATCTACCCAGAAACTCAGACCTGTGATCTGAACTGAAACCAAGGCTCCACATCATCAGTTCTGAGTAAAGGTTTGCAGTAGAAACAGGCAACTGATGTTTCTACAGATTTTTGTTTCCCAGCATAAAAAATTGCAGCCGTTTACAATTCGTAATTTAATGTCTTGCACCAAGAAAGAAGGTTAACGTGAAAATTCTGCTTGTGTTTGCAGGAATGCTTACTATTACGGACTTCATTAATATCCTCCATCGTTACTACAAGTCTCCTCTGGTGAGCTGCAGAATTGAATTCTCAATGACTGATCTCTCTGGTAACTGATGGGACTCTTCTCTGATTGTTGCACTGACAGAAACAGGATGTTCTTTCTGTCTGCAGGTTCAGATCTACGAACTGGAAGAACACAAGATAGAGACATGGAGAGGTCTGAACAAGAGTCTAGGGATTTCTAACCTCATCTGAATAACTAATTAGATTCATGGTTCATTAATGCAAATTTTAAATTCTCTAACAAAGTGATTTTTATTTCCGAGGATCAGGGTTAACCACTATCCCAAAAGCTTACTTAATGCTTAACCTGATGGTTTTTATGGTAGTCTTTAACTAAAATGTGACTTGAGATAATGCTCTGATCCTTTTTGTGTGATAATTTATAAATTTAAACCAATTAGCAATTTTTTTGTGACTAATTTGACTTTGAGATAATTATTCTTTGATTAAACCAGCCTTTATTAGGGTTACAGCTACACAATGCATGCACAGCGGTGTATAGGAGCTTAGATTTCCATTCAGGATCTCAGAAAAGTCTAAAGACATTTGGGTGGGAGGAGCGATAGCAGCTAACAAGGATCACATTGATCAAATGAAGCTTAAGAAACAGTAAATCCTGGTCTGATCTTATATTTTGCTTAAAAAGCGTAAAGAAAAATTGTCTGTCTTCCTTTTAAGACTGCAGATCTGAAGTATGAACTTGGCTATTATCTCAAAACCATTGCAGTCTCCTCACTTATACCCAGAGGCCCTAATGCAGAAAAACAAAATCAATGAAATTAAACAATCACAACATTTTCCTTTGCTCTAACGTGTGTTTCTAACATGACTTTGTTTTTTTCTACAGAAATCTATCTACAGTACTCTGTAAACAGGCTCATCAGCATCAAACCTGAGTCCAGGTAAAAGTGTTCATGTTCTTTTGATTTACTGCCTCAGCCTATTATTTAATCTCCACTTGAATAAAAAAAAAGAAGTCATTTTTCAATTCAGTTAAATAACATTATATTTCAAATTATATTTACTTACTTTAAATCAAAACATTTTTTATATAGCTTAACATTAACTAGTTTGGTAAATGTATGCATCTAGAGCAGTGATTCCAAAATGGGGGTACGCATATCCCTAGTGGCCTGTGGATGCATTGCAAGGGGTACATGAAGATATTTTATTTCTTAAGTAGTAAAATAAAATAGGGCTGGGAGTGGTTTTGCTTTCTAAAGACCCAGTTGATAAAATAAACAAGCTTTTATCAACCAAAAGTAAGTTTTTCTTTGAGTTCACCTTCAGCTTTGACAAACATCCAAAGCAAGCAGAGGAACAGACTGGATGTAGAGAACAGCCTGGGGTCAGCTGCTTTTCACACTGAGCTATCAGAGCTCATTAAAGCAGCTCACAGGTTTATAATATGGTTTAAACAGGTTTAATTTTTTATTCATTTTGATTCCTTACCAACTTCCAGACAACATATTTATGTTGTTTTAGTAATTGAAATGGAAAGCATTAAATGCATAAGAATTAAATGCTCAAATTAAAAGATTAAGTAAAAAGTTTTTCTTTTAGAATCAGTTGTTGTACGTCCCACTTTTGGACGATCATCAATACTTTTGACTGAGAGGGGGGCTCATCGTAAGAAAAAATGCTCAGGGAATACTCTTTAAAGGATCATTAATGACATCTAGTGGTAATAGTAGAAACAGCAAAGATTACAGTTGCATCTCTGTCACTATCACAGAATATTTATTCTATTTTTTTGTAGTTTTATGGTTAAAGCTAAACGCTAATACAAACCAAACACTTGAATGCCAGTCAAATGACCTGCCATCCAACCCCGAAGCCCTGCCACCAAACAAAAATGCTCTCTCGTTTTGTAATTGTTTTAGTTATCTATATTAATCCTACTGTAGACTTCAGCTCCAAATGAAACCTCCTGAATGTGCAGGCCAGCAGTAGGCAGTTTGTCATTCTTACTGTAATCTTTAAAATCTTCCACCAAGACATTAACTGTTAAACAGAAACAATTAGAACAGGTGGGTTAGCAGGGTTATCTTCCTTAAGGAAGATAATGAAGCAGTGTTTTCTTTATGTGTCAAAGTCTAAGGAAATATTTTTGTCTCTTCAGTTTGTTTGATGCCATCTACTCCCTGTTAAAGAATAAGATCCACCGGCTGCCGGTTATTGACCCAACTTCAGGAAATGTCCTCCACATCCTGACTCACAAGCGCATCCTAAAGTTCCTTCACATCTTTGTAAGAAAGGAGTGAATTTATGTAACTCCAGATTACATTTGAAGCTGTAGAAATGCCCAGACTTCATCTCATCAGTGTGTTTGCTTCTGTAGGGATCCATGATTCCCAAACCCAGGTTTCTTCAAAAGCAGATCAACGAGGTGCCCATCGGTACATTTAGGCAGATTGCAACGGTCCAGGAATCTGCATCTGTCTACGAAGCTTTGGCTATTTTTGTGGAAAGAAGAGTATCAGCCCTTCCTGTGGTTAACGAACAAGGTAGGACAGTCATCCGCTTTAATTCCAGATCCTTCCAGTCAGTATAAGCTGACTGCTGAGGTCATCTTCTTGCTGGTTAAATGGCCACAAAGCATCTGGAGAAATGTTTGAACCAGAGATGCTTGAAAAATAGAAAACACTAGTGATGGTTTAATGAGGCATCTTGAAGCCTATGGACACATTGCCAAACTGTATTGATACTGTCTCACAGAATACTGACACCTGCTGGACATTTAAAGACACTACAGGCAGCTGATTTGACAGACTAAACTGAAATGATTGGATGACCTGGTACAATATCATTTAAGTTATTGTAGATTATTTTATATTATTTCATATCTATGTTTAAATTTAAAGTATTTTTGAGAGTTTTAGATGCAGCCAATAAATAATGTAAACATATCATAATGTGAAAATTTAGGGGAAAATGTCAATGAAGATGCTCGTGAACTAGGACTGAAAATCATATTTTTAAAACAATAAGTATGGTAAAAACAGTAAATAAACTAAGAGTCAATTTGAAATGAACTTTCGATTAGCGATAAGTGAGAAGAAAAGTAGGACAGGAGACAATTAAAATAAAAATGCAA